TGAGCGCTCTACCGCTTGAGCCACATCCCCAGCCCCCCATTCTTTTCTCTGGCCCACGATTTTGGACCTAGCTCCGCAGAGCCCAGCTTCTAGAACACCCTTCCCTGCGCTGCCCTTCCTTGCCTGACTCTGTCCCCAGGCATCCTTTAGGATTCAGCACAGAGGCCCCTCCCCTCTCACACAGGCCTGGGCTTCCTCTGACAGTCCCTTTGTGCTCCCCCTCTCCTGCCATCGACCACAGCACCCTTGCCTTCATCTCTCCACCCTGGCCCTGACCGCCGGATGGGGACCCACGCCTGCTTCTCGGGGTACACCCTCAGAGCCCACACACGCCAGCTGCTGGGTACTTGAGGGTTGACGAACTGAATGGAAGTGACCGGTGGTCAGGGGGATAGCAGAGGGCCCAGTCGCCCCCCCCCCCCCTGGGCCTGAAGACCTGTCCCTGGGTTCCCAGCCCAGTCCGTGGCCCTGACCACAGCAGGGAGCAGCAGGGAGCAGCAGGGACCCTTGAGAGGGCACAATTTGGAGGCCAAGAAGACTGACTCAGAGAAGAGGCACCCAGGGGTGAATAGCCAGCCTGAGAGTCTGATGAACCAGAAGAGGGTGGTTTGAGACCTGAACAGAGAGGCCTCATCACCAGCACAGCATGGAGCAAGGGACCTATGTCAGCTACAAGAACCAAATTCCGCAGAGTCAGAGGACCCTTTCATTGGCCGTCAAAGGCCAGGCAGGACTCTCTGAGTCTCAGTTTCCCCAAATGCAAACAGCAGCTACTGAAACCCAACACTGTCACACCAGACAAGCCTCCTTACTGCCGGAGGAGCCAAGGCCAGGAAGACAGAGGGACTGGGGATGAAGCGGGCTCCTCGGAGCCTGAGCACATTTTCAGCCAGGAGGCCCCCCTGGCAGCCACTGCTGCTGCTACCCAGGCCTTGCAGCCCGGTTCCCAGCCTTACTTTGGACACCCTGGGGGAAGCCTCTTAACCCCAGCTCTGTCCAGCTGGCCCGAAGGCGCCTTCTCCCAACACTACATCCTCTTTTGGGGGTTGGATGCTCTCAGGGGACACCCTTCTTCCTCCAACTGCTCATCCTCTGGGTACTTGAAGCGAGAGGTGTGTGTCTCCATTTCTTTTCAGTCTCCTGCTCTCGGGTCAGATCTTACGATGGGGGACAATTAATACGAAGCGCAACACATACCCAATCAACCCAGGGTTGCATCCCGTGAATATGGGCATGCGATTTCGTCATTTTGGGCCTTAGGTCCCTCTTAGTGATGAAGTGAGGGGAAACGGGTGAGCCAGACTGGATTCTGGTCCAAGTAAAAAAGCGCACCAGCGGATGCTGGCATCGAGCAAAAGCTCAATAAATGATGGTCTTAGTTATTCTTTGCTCCTGCCCTCTTCCCAGAAGGAAGGATGTCCCAGAACACCTTTAGCTGCAGTGGGGATGTCTCAAAGTTAATAAAATCAGACCAGGGCTCTGGGCTCCTGAACGCTTTCTCTTTGGGGGGACCTTGAGTGGCTCAGTTCCACACCCAGCCTTGGGTTTGGGACTCCGCGCCCACCACGTCGCTTCTCCCTCGCCTAAGGGGACTCTGCCCCTCTTTCGCTCCCGGAGAGACTCGATCCCCAACTAATTCTGCTCCTTCTCGCCGCCCCGTACAGGAGCGCAGTGCACTCACCCCCTTGCGCTGGTTGCTGAGGCAGAAGGTGCAGATGGAGCGCGGCTGGCGGCCGCCGTCGGCGGCTGCGGGGACAGTGCCCTTGGCACTGCCCGCCGCACGGAAGCACGGCTGCCCGTCGTCGGCCGCGTCCCCCAGAAGCAGCACGTTGGCCAGGTGCGCGATGTAGCTGGACGCCAGGCGCAGCGTCTCGATCTTGGACAGCTTGCGGTCCACGGGCTCGGTGGGGATGAGCGTGCGCAGCGCGGTGAAGGCCGTGTTCACACTCTGCGTGCGGTCCCGCTCCCTCGCGTTGGCCGCCTGCCGCTGTCGCACCACCACAACGGGACCCGCGCTGCCGCCCGCCCGCCGCCCGCCCCCGGGGCCCGGGCCGCGCCGAGCCGCCTCCAGGCCTTCGCAGCAGCCGAACGACTGATCGGACGCGTCGCTCTCGCTGCGGTTCTCCTCGTCCTCGCTCAGCAGCCGCACGTCCGGGTACAGCACGTGCGCGCCGACGGGGCGCAGCAGCGCGAACGCCATGGGCGCCCGGCCGCGTCCCTCAGTGCGCGTTGTCCCTGCCTCGGCCGCGCCCGCCTTGCGCTCCCGCGCGCTCCCACGGCCTATCCGGCCGCCGCCTTATAGCCGGGGGAGGGGCTAATCGCGGGGCGGCCCCGGGCGGGGGCGGGGAGCTCCGCCCTGGCCAATGGGGAGGCGCCCGACGCGCCCCGGCCAATGGCGACGCGCGAGTCTCCCCAGTTCCCCAGGTTGAAAGCTCCCCGGGAGCTCGAGGCCCGCCCCAAGGCTCTGGGTCTCCACTGGCGAGCCGGACAGATGCTGGGGCTCTGGGTGGCCGGAGTGGAACTCAGATCTGGCCTCCTTGTCCTCAGCCTCCGCGGCGGCTGGGAGTCCACGGGCGAGTCCCTTCGCGCTTGCCCTGTTTCCTCATTCGGAAAGCGATTGTCGCCGACTTCCCGCCCTCACATTCCAATCAGTGGTTTGGCAACTTTCTTGTGCGTGTGATTTGGGGAAGGGGCTTCTCAGATCGCCCGCATTGTGACCCGGCAGTTCTGGAACGTCGCAGGAGTCTGCACTTTGTACCAGCCCTTGGTAATGGTATTGATGTCCGTGGGGAACATTGGGGAAAACTATGACTTTTCCAAAAAAGGACTCAACCGTATCACCTCCCCTACAACAGTTTTTAAACACACACACACACACACACACACACACACACACACGCCAAGATAAAAACACACAAAAAAAAATACATCAAAACACACAAATCGGTCTCTCTCCACTATGGAAGGATGTGTATTTAAAAACTCTCTTGTGAAAACAACAACAACACAAATCCCAGTAGTTCCATTCTTTCATTGATGAGTTCAACAAATATTAGTTGGCCCTACTATGTGTCAGGCACGGTTTTAGATCAGAGGATTCCGATCTGAACGAAATAAACTCTCTGCCTTCGGGGAGGCTCAGGGGGTTAGCGCTGAGTACTTTACCGTGCCCAGCTGAGGTTGTCGCATGACCCCGACTCACAGGTAAGACAGCTGGCCTTTAGCTACAGGTAGCTGAGCGGGGACCGCAGCCTCAACCCGTCTGGCTTCACCACCTCTCGGAATCCCCCTCCGCACCCCCTCACACACAGGCTGCCCCCCTCCAGTGTGCCTGTCTTGGAGAAACTTCTGATTGTTCGCCCCGTGTCTGTCCCATTCCCTCCTGGGAAGCGTAACTGGGCTGATGATGGCCACTGGGATCCCTAGGTCATTCAGACTGTCTCCCAGCTCCATCCCGGGACTAGCCAAGTCGGCATCCACTGGGCCTTGGAAAGTAACTTTCTGTTCAGCTGCAGTGGCTGCCAGTGTGGCAGAGAGAGGATGCGGATGGGAGCGGAGGGGCTTTGAGGTGCTTTGGTCTCTCCTGAGCCTCCTTCCTGGAGGTGCCTCCCCCTGGGTCGTGCTGAGCTCCCCCCGCCTCCCAGTCCCAGGCCAGAGGGTGGGGAAGGAGGGCTTCCCTGGTTGTGAGAGAGGAGTCCCTGAACTCCCAGAACCCAAGGTCTGCGGGAGACTGTTCCCACACCTGGCTTCCCACCTCCCACACCGCCTGACCGTGACCCCAGCCAGGCTGAGCTCGGGAGGAGGAGTCTCACGCCCCCGTCCCTCGGGGCCAGCCCCACACGCAGCCCGGCCTGCGGCTGCTTCCTGAGCCGATGAGTTATGACGGGGAGATTTCCTTCCCTGTCTGCGCCTCCTCACGGGGGCTCCCAGCCCCCTCCACTTTCGCTTTCTCCCCCTCTCTCGGCTCCTGACCCCCAGGCTGTTTAAAATTCCTCCGCTCGCCCCCTCCCCAGGCCCGCGCAGAGCTGGGGACGTCAAACGGGGCGTGAACTGGCCCGGAAGGCGGGAGGGGGCTCCTGGTGGGCTCTTCATTCATTCGCTGCTCCTGGGCAGGTTTGGACACAAGGGACCCTGGGAGTAAACTAAAACCATGAATGAGTCTGAGGCCGGCGGCTCCAGCCAGGGGAAGGCCCGCTGTAAACAAAGCATTTCAGGACAATGAGCTAGAACCCCGTCAGGGTCTGGCCTGGGAGACCCGGCGCCGGCTCCGAGGTTAGCTACCTCTTGGAGTCTCATTTTCCTGCTTTGAAAGCTGGGGACAAACACCGAGCCTGAAAAGCCAGCTCCTCCCAAGGCTGAGGCGGCAGGATGGCAAGTTCGAGTCCTGCCTTGGAAACTTAGCAAGACCCTGTCTCAAAAATAAAATAAAAAGGGCTGGGGACGTAGCTCAGGGGTGGAGCACCCTGGGCTCAAGCCCCAGCAACAAATGCAAAAGCAACACCAGAAAGAAACCTGGGGGGCAGCAACCCCACTCTCGGGATGTGAGGTGCTGGGAGCTTGTGCCAAGGATGCTGGGGTCTGCCCCAGGACACCCGGGAAAGGGCTGAGCATGGCGCAGGGCTCCTGCCCTTGTGGCTGGGAGCAGCGTGGGGGTGGGGAGGCCTCCTCCCTGTTCTCAGTCCACCTACTCAGGGGCCTCAGTGCCTCCTGTTCTCTTTCCCCTACTTTGTTCCAGCCCTTGGCCTCTTCTCTATCCCTGGAGCCCGCTCCTGCCTGGCACCACGGTCACCGGGTGTCCCCACGGTGTATTCCCTCACTTCCCTTGAATCTTGGCTTCCATCTCAAGGAGCTCCTCCCAGACCTCCAGGACTCAGGTTGTTTCTTTTCTTTTTTTTTTTTTAATATTTATTTATTTTTTAGTTTTCGGTGGACACAACATCTTTGTATGTGGTGCTGAGGATCGAACCTGGGCCGCACGCATGCCAGGCGAGCGCGCTACCGCTTGAGCCACATCCCCAGCCCCGACTCAGGTTGTTTCTGCCCTCCCACCTTCCGGCATCCCGTCCCTCCTTTTCCCTCTTAGCCGGCTTGCTGTCTTTCCATGGCATTGATCACCACCCTTCGTTTATTTATTTGTTTATTCTACAAATTTTAATTGAGCGCCTGCTATGTGCTAGGCATCCTAGGTACTGGGAATAGAGCAGTGAACAATTCCCTTTTTTTTTCTTTTTAGGCCCACCATCGGTCTCCTCCACTGGAATACAAGCTTCATGGAGCAGGAACTCTATTTTACTCACCTCCTTCCTGCCCATGGCACCCTTCTGAGGTGGGTATTGTGGTTCTGCCATTTTACAGATGGAGAAACTGAGGTTCAGCAAGGAGACGGGGACTTGCCCAAGGTGGGACAGAAGACGGGTGGGGGCAAGTTGGTCTGGTTGCACAGCTCTTGTTCCTTCCCCATGACGTGACCTCTGTGGCAGCCCACAGGCTCCTGGGAACTGAGTGGGAGTCTGCTGAGCAAGAGGAGGAGGGCCCTACAGGCCACCAGGCCAGCGCAGTGACTGCCCTCCCGCTGGGTCGTGGGCACCCCAGCTTCTGTGCTGCTGAGGCACTTATGCTTTCTTGAAGGAACCAGCTTTGCACACTTCTGAGTCTTTGCCCTGGCTGTCCTTCCCAGGTGAGGCCAGTCCCCTTGCCTCAGACCAGACAGCCCTGGTCCCCTGCCACGGTCCCTGGTGGCTTCTCGGCAGCTCTTGCCCCTGTGTCCTGGTGAAAAGTCTCGTAGTGTACATCACGTCACACGATGACTACCTCCATCCTGACTCCCCTCCTGTCTCCCACAGGACCCATGCTACTTTCTTTCCTTTCTTTCTTTTTGGGGGATGGGGGAGATGGGTGGAACTGGAGATTGAACTACCACTGAGCTAGATCCCCAGCCCTTTTTATATTTTATTTTGAGACATGTCTTGCTAAGTTGCTGAGGCTGGCCTCAAACTCTTGATCCTTCTGCTTCAGCCTCCTGAGTTGCAATGCGCACAGGTCCATGCTAATATTCAGGGTGCATGTCTTCCGATGTGTGTGGGTCTTTATAAAACATAAATGGTCTAATTTGCATGAGTGGGTCATGAATATACACAGTGGTAGTTTCCATAGGTCTTTTTCTTAGGCTATTTTGTTTTATTTTGTGTCCTCCCGTATTGCTCAGTGTGTGGAGTCTAACCAGAGCGTGTTGCTTCTGATTGCTGACTCTCGCCTGCGTGGTGTTTGAACACAACCAGCCTCCTCTTCCCGTTCTGTGGTGAGGGACTGGATGCTGGTTACCTGCAGCTTCCTCCTCCTAAAGCAAAGGCTGGTGCGTGACTCTTGGGGCTCCTGTGCGTGTTATACAGAATCCGCACCCAGGGCAGGATGACTGGAGCCCAGAGAATACACATCTGTAGCCCAGTATCACCTAACCGCACCGTACCGTGACTGTCCCTGTCCACACGCCCATCAGCAGGGCATGAGAGGCCCCTTTGCCCACGTTACCCCTGGCATTTGGAATCGGCCGGCTTCCTGATGGCAGAGAGGGGGTTGTTTTCCACTGTATCTCACACGCCAGGGTCTAGCACCTGTGGGCAAGAATGAGTGAGTGAATGAGTGATGCACAGCTACCATCGAGCCCCCTGCACCTCTCTTGTACCAAACCTCTGCCTAGAGAGCAGGGGATATGTGTATGTGTGCACAGGGGGACGTGACAAGTTCTACATCTTGATCAGCTTAGAAGAAAAACCCCAGTGACAGCATCTGGGGAGGACCCACTGTTACCGCTGTTGACCGGTGACGAGTCCTTGCTTCCCCAATGTTGAAGAATAACACCAGAGAGCACGCAGAGGCAAGGTCAGAGTGGAAAATAGAAGCTTATTAAAGGACAGCAGAAAAGACTTCTCCGGAGGAAGAAGGGGACCCAAGAGGTGGAATCTGTGGAAGTGTGGTTGTCTCCCCTTTTTATAGTTTTGGTGATGGAATGTAAGGGGGAAGGGTTAGGACACAGGTGGGCCAAACAAGTAATCTGGGCAAGAAGGACTTCATTATCACTTCTTTGGGATGGGCTATCTCCAAACATGTTGGGGGCTGTTTCCTGGGTTCCATTAACATTTCTTTGGGGTGGACTTTGGCCTAGGGCCTTTCCAGGACTTCATTAACATTCCATGAGTTGTCCTGCGTTTCCCGGAATCATTATCAGCATGGCCTCCATTTTAGATTTCACTGATATTAGATCCGATTTACCTAAGTACACTGACTACCTAACTTTAAATCTGGCTTCACCACTGTGTCAACAATTCATGGGTACATGCACCCAGACCTCAGGTTTCACTAGACAAGACACAAACCTACTCTCTCTCGTTCCAGGTGTTTGTTGGCAGGGCTGGTCTGGTGGCCAGCCCCCAAGGGAGCCCCATGATCCTTGCCTCCACAGACCCTCCCCTACCAAATCAGATCTGACTTCTGCAACCAAAAGATTATGGCAGAGGGGACAGCAGGGGACATGGAGCTTCAGATCGGTGGGGTGGTGGGCGCCAGTGGCTCGGGAGGCCGAGGCAGGAGGATTGCGAGATCAAAGCCAGCTTCAGCAAGGGCAAGGCACTAAGCAACTCAGGGAGACCCTGTCTCTAAATAAAATATAAAATAGGGCAGGGGATGGGCTCAGTGGTTGAGAGCCCCTGGGTTCAATCCCCAGTACCCCCACCCCCCCAAATAAATAAATAAGGCTGGGGAGACCTTGCTTAGGGATTCAGCGCCCCTGGTTTAACCCCAGTTATGCCCCCTTCCCCCCAAAAAAACATGGAGCTTCTGTTGTCTTATTCTCTTGAGTCACTTCCTCTGGGGACAGCAGCCACCAACCATGAGGAAGTTCACACTGTCTCCTTGAGAGCCATGTGAAGAGGAAGGGGGCCCCAACCCCCAGCCAGCACCAACCGATTCTCCAGCCACAGGAGTGAGCATCTTGGATGTGGAGCCTGAATCCCTGACCCTCAGGGAGCCTGGAAAGTGACAAGGACTATCAAGAAAGGTCAAGGAAGAAAGGGAAAGATGATAAATAACCACAATCATTAATATTCAGGCGTGTGCGTTATTGAATCTTCCACCCAGTGCATGGGACTGGGAGTCAGGGCTGTCATTGAACAGCCTGCGGTTCCTGGGGCGAGGACTGCCCAGGTAGGTCACATGTGCATGCAGCACAGAGGCTCAGTGGTGGCCTGGCTTTGCCACTGTCTGTCCATGCCCAACGCCTAAGACAATCAATGCTGAGGGCCATTGCTAAGTAAGAATGACGCATGGCATGACCCAGGTCATTTGCAGTGTCATTGCATGTAAGGTGACCTTGCTCAAGGAGCAGGGCGGATCCGGGTTTAGGGCGGATCGGGGTTTAGGGCGTTCCCGGTTTAGGACAATCCGGGTTTAGGGCGGTTCCAGGTTTAAGGTGTACCCTGCTGGGAATAGGGCGTATCCTGCTGCCTCAGGTGGCCTGCTCGTTGAGTTCCCCTTGAGTTCTCGTTGAGTTCTCGTGGGATTCAGAGAGTATTTGGGGATTTTGCCCAGAATGTGAATTCCCCCAGAACGTGTTTGTAGAGTGCTGGTGTGAGTTTGGGAATAAAGAATTGCTGTTTGAATCTACAAGGCTGTGAGTGGCTCGTGATTTTGTGCCCAGCCAGACTGCGGCATTTGGTGGCCTGTACGCAGAACGTCTGAAACTTGGAGGTAAGTGAAATTGCTCGCCCCTGAGGGAAGGCGAGAGAATGGGTGATCAATTCAAAAAACAATGTGTTCCTGTTTTGATTTATTTTGTTTTTGTTTCAAGCTGCCTATCCCTAGAAATTTCTCAGGCAAACTGGGAAAAATGGTTGGCTAAAGGTTTGAAATTTGTCGGCCCTGAGGAAGAGAAAATTGATACAACGATTTTTTATTCCGTTTTTGTTTCATTCAGTTTCGGTTTTGTTTTGTGTTATCTTATTGGGTTGCGTTATCTTTATAGTAGATTAGAAATTAGTAAAAAACAAATGGAAAAGGTGTTAAGTAAATTGTTAGAGGTTCAGACCATGGAGAAAGACATTTTAGATCAAGCAAAAGAGAAGGTCTCTCGAGCTAGTCAGACAGGGGAAGAAAATTTAAAGGAAAAGGGGTTATTAGGAAAAAGGCCACAACAGGAGGCTGTTACTAACTCCGTTCTATCACCAGAGGGCGTAATTCAACCAACAGCCCCACCTATGGAGACAGCTGAGTGGCCCTCAAACCCTGAAGTTGATAAATGGGATCCTGAGACAGGACCTCAAAGATTAGCATGCCCTGTACTTGAACAGGTAGGAGGGCAGCGAATTCACTGTGCTTTAGATTTTAAAACAGTGAAGCAGTTAAAGGAGGCTGTAACAACCTATGGTCCCCAAGCACCCTTCACGGTAAGCATGGTCGAGTCCATTACTAACTTGGACATGACGCCAGCAGATTGGGCTAGCATGTGTAAATCTGTGCTAAATGGAGGACAATATTTGTTATGGAAGGTTGCCAATTAGGAATTTTGCACAGAGACAGCTAGGCGAAATGCAGCAGCCGGTTACCCTCAAAGAAATCTAGATATGTTGTTAGGAAAAGGACCTTATGAGGGTCATCGGCAACAAATTTAATATGATCCTGCTATATATGCACAAATTGCTGCAGACGCAGTTAGGGCATGGAAGACTTTACAAGGACATGGAGATCTACAAGGTCAGCTATCTAAGGTAATACAGAGAACTAATGAACCTTACGCTGAATTTGTAGATAGGCTTCTTCAAACAGCTTCCAGAATTTTTGGGGACACAGAACAGGCAATGCCATTAATAAAACAACTTCCTTATGACCAAGCAAATCGTTGCTGCAGAGAGGTCATTAGACCATGGAGACATGAAGATTTAAACACATATATTAAATTATGTAGAGACATTAATGAACAAGGGCAAGTCTTGGCAGCTGCAGTACAACAGGCTTTAGATGCCAGGCCAAAAACATGCTACAATTGTGAACAAACAGGACATTTTAAAAGGAATTGCCCCATAGGAGGAGGGTTTAACAAAAGTAGGTATCAAAGGAATAGAATACCGGGTATTTGCCCACGATGCCGTAGAGGGAGACATTGGGCTAATGAATGCCGTTCTCAAACCACCATAGAGGGTACTCCCTTATCAAAAAACGGATATCGTGGAGAAAGGCATCAGGCTCCATTGCCAAAAAACGGACTGGGGGGCCCAATGCTCCGGGGCCCACAACCACAAATATACAGGGCAGTGGAGGAACCCAGCAACACCATCAGTGTAGTGCCCAGGACACATTGTCCATTAAATCCCTCATCAGACAAACCCGAGGGAGCGCAGGGTTGGACATCTGCGCCTCTGCCAGAGCAGTACTAACTCCAGAGATGGGAGTTCAAATCATTCCCACAGGAGTAAAAGGACCTCTTCCCCAAAGAACAGTAGGCTTATTATTGGGATATAGTTCATCTACATTGAAAAGGACTTATGATAAGTCCTGGGGTAATTGATCCCGATTATGAAGGTGAAATAAAAATTATAGCTAGTTCTCCAAGAGGTATATCAGTAATTTCACCAGGAGATAGAATACCACAGTTGTTAATAATACCCAGCCTACATGATAAATTCTCCAGCCGTAGTGTAGAAAGAGGTTCCAGGGGATTAGGCTCCACAGGTGTAGATTGGGCTATGCTGTCTTTAAATTTAGATTCTCGCCCAATGCTAAAACTAAATATTCAAGGACATGAGTTTAATGGACTACTGGACACAGGTGCTGACCTTAGCATCATCTCTCGTCAAGAATGGCCAAAACATTGGCCATTACAACAAGCCACTCAAACGCTTTGAGGCCTAGGAGTGGCGACTAATCCCCATAGAAGTTCAATGATATTAGATTGGAAGGATCCTGAAGGATGTGAAGGAACTATACAGCCATATGTATTGGATCATCTTCCTATAAATTTATGGGGACGAGATGTCCTAGATCAATTAGGTTTGACGTTAACAAATAACATCAATCCTAATGCGCCCACTACTAGGGCTAGACAAGGCTTTAGGAAAGAAAAAAGATTAGGAGAACAAGAACAAGGTATAGCAGCACCAATACAAATAGATCAAGGAACAGACAGACATGGGTTGGATTTTCAGAAAGGGCCACTGAGACAATAAAAATTACTTGGAAATCAGAAAGACCAATGTGGGTTCCTCAGTGGCCCCTGACTAAAGAAAAGATACAAGTAGCCCATGACCTGGTCAAACAACAATTAGCAGAGGGACATATACAACCTTCCGTATCTCCCCATAATACTCCCATTTTTGTCATCAAAAAGAAATCTGGTAAATGGAGATTATTGCAAGATTTAAGAGCCATTAATAATGAGATGGTTATTATGGGACCTGCTCAATCAGGGATTCCTCAATTGTCTGCTTTGCCAAAAACCTGGTATGTTTTAGCCATAGATATTAAAGATTGTTTTTTTTTCGATTCCAATTCATCCTGAGGATAGTCCACGTTTTGCATTAACTATCCCTGCATTAAATCATGAAGGTCCTGATCAGAGATATGAATGGAAAGTAATCCCTCAAGGGATGGCTAACAGTCCAACTATGTGTCAAATCTATGTTAACAAAGCAATCCAGCCACTTAGAAATCAAAATCCTGAACTACAAATATTTCACTATATGGATGATGTGTTATTAGCACATAAAGATAAAAACACATTGCTGGAATGTTATGCCACACTTACAAACTTATTAAAAAATTATAATCTAGAGATAGGAATAGATAAAGTACAATTAAATTTTCCAATTAATTATTTAGGAGTTCTATTATCCTCAACTATGGTCCATCCACCAAAAATTCAAATACGAGTAGATCAACTCAATTACTTAATGACTTTCAAAAGTTATTGGGAGACATAAATTGGATAAGGCCTTATCTAGGCATACCAACAGGAGAGTTGGGACCTTTATTTGATATTCTAAAAGGTCCATCAGATCCAAATTCACCCCGCATGTTAACTCCTAAAGGAAGAAAGGCATTAAAAATTATTGAAACATATATGGAAAATATGCATTTGGATAGAATTGATACAAGTTTGCCTTTATTATTTATTGTACTACCAACAAAAAATATTCCTACAGGAGTATTTTGGCAAGAAGGTCCATTATTGTGGATACATTTATCTTATTCTCCTAACACTATTCTTACTAGGTATCCTGAGGCTGTAGGACAATTAATACTCAAAGGAATAAGAGCAGCAAAAGGAGTGTTTGGAATTTCTCCCAATAAAATTATTACTCCATATACTATGGATCAAATTGATGAGTTAGCTAATGAGTTAAATACTTGGGCAATAATCATGTGTAAATCTAATGTTACATTTGATAATCATTTACCATCCAATCCTTTGTTGTCTTTTTGGTCTAAGCATCCTGTAGTTTTTCCTAAAATGACAAGAAAAACACCTATCATGAATGCTCCAAATATATTCACTGATGGGTCAAATAAGGTACAGCAGCAGTAGTTACCCCTGATCAAACTTTTACATTTTTAGTACCCAAACAATCAGCTCAAAAGGTAGAGCTTAATGCAGTTTTACAAGCTTTTGTGATGTTTAAAGATTCTGTATTTAATTTATTTTCTGATAGTCAGTATATAGTTAATGCTATAGTATCCCTTGAAGATGCTGGTAGGATTTCCCCTTCCTCTACTGTTTTCTCTTTGTTTTCCATTATACAAAGTCTAATCTGGGACAGAAAAGATCCATTCTTTATAGGACATATTAGGGCACATACAGGATTGCCTGGAGCCCTTAGTTTGGGCAATGATTTAGCAGATAAAACTACACATGACATACATATTTTCTCTACACTAGAAGAGGCTACAAATTTTCATAAAAGGTTTCATGTTAATGCTAATACTTTACAAAAGTGTTTTAAAATAACTAAGGAACAAGCCAGACATATAATAAAACAATGTCAAAATTGTGTGACATTTTTACCACAAGTTAATCTTGGAGTCAATCCTAGAGGACTGATACCTAACCATATTTGGCAGATGGACATCACACACTTGCCAGAATTTGGAAAATTAAAATATTTACATGTTACAGTTGAAACTTCTTCCGGATTTTTGATGGGCTCCCTTCATGCTGGAGAAAACTAAAGATGTTATAGCTCACTGCTTACAAAATTTTGCCACTGTGGGTGTTCCTAAACAGTTAAAAACAGATAATGGTCCTGGTTATACTTCTACCTCTTTTAAACAATTTTGCTCATCATTTGGCATTACTCATATAACAGG